CTTAAGTGTAGGCATTTTCAACCGGATTATTGTAAACATTGCCTATTTGTAGCTACACCGCTACATTTTCATTTGCAACAGAGTTTAAAACCCAGACTCACAAAGATATGTCAACACGAATGGATAGCTGTCTCCACTAAGATTCACACATCAAGGTCCAAAATTCTGCGATGATTTCTCCTCAAAGATAGTTTTTGTTCCAGAAATTCATTTTGTAAAGTATGAGGAACTTTTTGACCTGCAATTTGAAATGCTAACTCCAATTTTCATTAGAATGTTCAGGAAAATACCCCCTAAATTCATTTTCTAATGATATCAAGCTGCAAAAAAAAATTTTTTTTTTTTTTTTTTTTTTTTTTTTTTTTTCAAATTCTGGAAGTATTTGATCATTACTACCAGTAACAAGAAAAGATGATGATTTCTCAAACATTTTAACATTTTCATGTTAGCATTTTTCTTCCAGTTTTTTAGTTTAATCATAAAAGGTTTTTTTTTTTTTTTTTTTTTTTTTGTCTTGCATTTAAAGAATCATTTATTCAATTGCTCAAAAATAGCAATCAAGTTTGCAGACTGCAAAATCTATTCCTCTTCATCCATACAGGCAAAAAATTCCAGTTTTCCTTTAATTTCAAAAAAGAATTTAAGCTAATTTTTGCTTTCAAATGCTTGCATAGTTACATTTCCTTTTGAAAGTGATCAAACATTTGTGTGAAATAGAAGCAAGTGGTGGTCTGCTTCCAAGTCAATGCATAACCACTAAAAAATGCATGCACTGGGAGCTCCTTCCTTGACAGAATTCTTAATTTGAATTGTTTGATCCAAAATCATTCCTTGTGAAGCCGGGGTTGTTTTTGAGATCAGTACTTCATGATAAATCATACAGTGAATGCCTTTCATTTCTGGAGACAACTTTTTAACTTTAACTTGAAGTGTAGCCTTTGATCATAATGTAACTGTTTTTCCATATGTGCAGCACTCACATACATTACCACTGACTCAAAGAAAGGTAAAACTTTTTTTAAATATCTGAGTCTGTGATGGTTGTTTCTAGGGAAGAATAAAAAAGAAAATCCTCTTTAAATGAACTTAAGTAGATATAGCTTGCAAACACCAGCAATTTAGAACATGATGCCATTTCTGTTGATTCATCGAGTTGAACTGAAAATAAGCCAAATGCTGTAGACTCAAACTCCAGTACAATTTGATTCTTGATATTAATTGTCATATCACTGATTCACCTTTAGGCAGTACTGTTTTTTTTTTTTTTTTTTTTTTTTTTGAGAAACTACTTGATTTTTTTCTTCATTTCATTTTCTAACTCAGTTTCCATCATTTTGAGAGCACAGAATGTGATTAGAGTTAATTATCCCATTGCATGTGGTTTTTTTTTTTTTTTTTTTTTTTTTTTTCTGCTTTGCTATCTCCATTGCTATCACACAGGAAGTTTCAGTGATCTTAAAACTTTTATCTTGAAATGCTCTTCTTGAATCTAATTTCTTCTTTTTAAGAGCATCTGCCGCTCAAAAAAATATTTGTTTTTGCCCTTACGTTGAGGAGGAACATTCTGCAAATATTACTTTAGCTGGGTTGGTTTCTAAGAATCTGTAACAGTGTGAAACTATATTGAATATATGAATCATTACATGTTCTTTTTTTTTCACTCTCTTTGTTCCACTGTCAACAAATATAAAGCTTATGAGGTAAATGTATCAATAGACAAAAATCATTTTTCACAATTACAAATTCTGACAAGATAAGGAAGAAAAAAATGCACAACAAGAAGCTCTGAAATTACAAGATAACATAAACAGATGGTAACTTGTAAAAACTGTCTTTTAACGTGAGTATTTACCCTTCACCTGGTTTTGTTTTGAGAGAAATGGTGATCTTGCATCTTGGAAGTAAGCCAGATTTCTCTCTCTCTCTCTTTTTTTTTTTTAACTTAAACTGAAGCAGGAAGTAGGTGGAGTAAGGCTGACCACATTCCATCTCAGGGAGGAATTCCCTCCTGGTTGAAAACCTTCATTTTATAGAAGATGTAAGCTTTTATTATCTTAGACTTTGGCTGTGGCTATTTTCAAATTATGCTAGTAATATTGAAGATAATGGTCATTACATCAGATAAAACAATTCAAAAGAATTATCTTTGGGTTTCCAAATGCCCCTTCTGTATTTCTCATGTTCTAGGCCTCTAGGCTCTTTTCTTAACCTAAGGCATTTTGTTTAGATAGCATACTTATTTCTGCAAAATCTTGGGAGGATATAATCTTGAAATTAAAGGAGATATTTGAATGCCTAAGAATGGAAAATCAAACTTATATAAATGTGAATTTGAAGGAAAAAAAGAAGTAGATCTTTAGGGTTTCACCATAAACATCTCATGAGGTTCTAAAAAATAAAATCTATAAAAAATTTCCAAAACCAAAGAATGTACATAAAATGTAAATTCTTGGGATTTGTCAGATGTTTTGTGCCAAAGTATGCAGAAAAGGGGAAAACATTTAAGAGCTTGACACTGAACAATAAAGACTTTGAATGGAAGAAAGAACAAAAGAAATCTTTTGAACTAGTACAAGAACAAATAATTGATAAATCCATAATTGCTCTCTATCAATCAAGCAGACAATGAAGTTCATTTTTATATAAGTTTTAAAGTCTAAGCAAAGTATTAATGCACCATGGTGAAGATAGAAAGTGACATCTTGTTTGTTTGTAAGGAAATTTCAGAAGCACAGAAAAGATATCATTATAGTAAACTGGAGTCAACAACAATAGTATGGTTTTTGGATAGACTGTGAATAATTCTTAATTGGAATAAAATTTTCCGTTATCTCTGACTGCCAACTGACTTGTGTACATGAATGTGAAAAAGCTTATGAATCGCCAAACAGGATGGATTTTGATCCAAGAATAGGATTTCAAGCTAAAACAAAGGGTGAGTAAGCAATTTTCTCATAGATGCTTTGAGTAGAGCCCCACTATCAGAAACTGACAACATGTTCATGAACAGAGCTGACAATTTTTAAGCTTGTCAGACTCTTAGTTTAGAATAGCAGATACTTATGATGCAGCATGCTGATCATTTTGAAGTCATCATTTTCAAGGGGGAAAAGAATGAACTGTAAAGGAGAAGAAATAATTGGAAACTATGTGTTTAAGAGAAGCAGATTAATTTGGGAAACTGTGATAGACTGAAATCAGAAACTGCTTTATGTGATCTCCAAAAGAATGAGGGGAAAATATAGTAGTGAAATCATTATTTGTTGTTACTTTTCTGTATACTGAACAGTTATTAAATTTAAGATACTATATTGGTTTCTAGGTATGAAACAATATGTAAGGATATATATCAGTGTGATTTGAATGTATTATGAATTAAGTAGCAGGTGGTAAACTACTTCTCATAAAAACTAATAATTGACTTGTTATTGTTATTTACATGGATAATTAGGGTCCTTTTTCTGAAAAACTCAAAAGGTAATGAGGGATTATTAGTGAAAAATAATATGGAAAAGTTTGTGAGAATTTTTGCAATTAAAAACACAAGCACAAAGTATGTTATAAAGTCCTTGAAATATTTCGTTATTGACTTTTACTGGTTTACTGGAAAAAATAATAGATGATGAGGATGCTTCTTTGCTTCAATTAAAGCAATACTGTACAGACAATGGAATTCATGATACCTTATATTCTGCCAAACTCTCCAAAGCGTTGGCATGGTGCAGGGAGGCAACAGAACAGTTTTAAGAAGGATAACAGTAAGTAAGACAAAGACTGGGCACCATTTAAAAAGGATGCCAACTAAGGATGCAGATTTCAGTAGCAGAAATTGTATGAGAAAGTGTGTGAATGTGTGAGGTAAGTTGATATTTCAGCATGTGGCTCGATGTATATATGTTAATAGTGTATAGTATTAATAAAGTAAAGAAATAATACACTATGATCAATCTGAAAACGTGAGTTGGATAAACAGTCTTATAACTATTATAGCTCCATAGGGAACTTTCTCCAAGCTTTTGATTTAATACATAGCTGTCAGAGAATCACTTGAGTTGAAGAATTGCCCTTACCAGAAATAAGACTTTTAGAACTAAGAGTTTAAATCAGCACAAAATTTATTAAACCCCCAACTTGTGATAAATAAATTATTCAGAATAAAGGTCTATTGCTAGATACACTTAATTCACCAGATTTTCAACTAGGCTTTTGCCAATTTATAAAGTTCATATAGATTTTAAAAATATATCATATCCTTAAAAACATGTCATTTCGCATTACATACAGGTTTAAAAAAGAAAAGCTTAGAATGCACAGACAAGGGCACTTTAATTTACTAACCTTTTGGATGAAAGCTCAGTCTAATAGATCCAGACATTTCTCACTGATCAAAATTTAGCTTGATAATTAAGTATGAAGTCTACAAATAGCAAAGAGATGTTTTTTACCTCCTCCTTACACTAGCAGCTCACCAGTGGATGAGTGCTTAAGAAAACTGAATGCTGGAAGTTCGATTAAAACCAAGATGGACAGGCTGGCTGCTCTGTTGCTTTTTTTGGGTTCCTCTCTATGTAACGTGAATACAAGCCAGTTTCCCTTAGAAAGTCCTCCACTAAAGAATTCACCCCCTAGGAAAACAGATCTTGTGGGCTTTGCTATATTCAAATAATCTAACCTAAATATTTTTGACATGCTTTTATGTAACTGTAATTTGCACAATTTTCTGGTCCGAGTGAAATTTTCGGACATGAACTAACAGTACAGGCACCTCAGTAAATAACTTTACAAGACAGAACACTAAATAGCTTAAAAATAATTGTCATATAGCAATAAAATTTTATACTTTTATCATATGAATAGTATCAATATATCTAAATTTCATTTTATTAATTTTACTTTCTAAATTTTTATTACACATATTATGGTGTTTTGAACATGTTCTAAATGAATTCATAATTGTAAATCAGGAGTTTTTTATAATTTCATTTTTTTCTTCTTCCCAGACTGAGAGGATGCTTATTCAGCAGCATATCAAGAGACCTCTTGTTTTATATCCTGATAATGTTCACTCAGATTATATTGATGAACCAGATGAAAATGTAGATCAACAAAAGAGGCTTGTAGCCCAAGACATGTCAAAAACTTACAAGATTGTTTCAAAGCAAATTGATGTAACTAATAAATATGTCGAACTCTCACTGCTAACACTAATGAATATAATAGTTTCTCTAGAGGTACAGGATTTAATAGATATTGCATTTGTTTTCTTTCCCATTTTGGAATCTGTATCAATTTCAACGGATACATATTTTGAAAGCCTTGTAAAGTATGATTCCTGTGAGAAATTAAGTGATAAAGAAGAAAAACTTGAAAAAAAGAAGCCGAACTTTATTTCTCATATTCTATCAACTCTAAAAGAACCAAGAACTGATGCAAAATTAAAATTAGAGATTGAGAAAGAAGATTTGCCTTTCATTAAAGAAAGTAAGCCATGTAAATTGGTATCTCATGACATTCTGGAAACTAAGGCAATTAATAAAATTGATCTGGATTATTTTAATACTGATCTTGGTATTACTATGAAAGATTATTGCTTTGAACCTCTCAGCTCATGGCGGGAAGTGTGTGATGATGCTGAATTTTTGGGCTTGCTTGATAAATGTTCCTTAGATTCTGTTGATACTGACAAAATAATTTCTACTGCAACAATGCGTTTGGATTGCTCTGATATATTGCATGGTAATTGCTCCACTACTCCAGATTATTACATGTGTCCATTAAATTATAGCTGGGAGAAAGAAAATGAAATTGAAAGTAATGTATCCAACACACATCATGATGTTCAAGAGATGCTTATTGAAACTGATATTGCTGAAGTCTTGGATAACCTGCTGGAAAAAGTTACTGATATAGAAGAATCTTTGGTGAAAGAAGGCTATGATGAGCTTTCAAATCTAGATTTTCCAACTTTTACAGGGGGTGGTCTTATTTTGACATTACCTGTACTTAAGGATATGGAAAGAGATGATCCTGATTCCTTTCCTTACTCAAATTACTATAAAAAAATTGAAGAGTATGAAGAGCTTTTACCAAAACCAGTTTATGTGCATATTATTCCTCCCAGAGAGTATGAAATAGAACCAGTACATGACTTAAAGCTGAAACCTTTTATTGATTTTATTGCTGTAAGAAAAGATGACATCTCTAAACTATTGTTTATATTTTGTGATTTAAAATCATCAACAAATCAAAGAAAATTTGAACTGAGGTGAGATCATAAAAGTCTATAATGAGTTTATAGTTTAAAATCAGTAATCATAAGAGTTCATAATCAGTAATACACAGAGTGTTCAGAATTGAAGAACACTATTTCAAAGCTGCCTACAGGTGAAATAGTCATCAGATAATTGTGAAATTTTGTGGCAGGTTTAATGAAGCGATTGGAATGTCTTTCAGTTAAAAAATAATAATAATAATAATTACAAATATCGCAAGCATAGGGCATTGTAATAATAAATGTAGCCACATCTTTACAATAATTTTATACATTTTATTACAACAAAGCGTGTTCCACCTGATCACTATCATTTTCAGCTATCATGCAAAACTGCAAGATGGCATGTTTAATAGTTGACTGAAGTGTGTGATAAGAAATATTAAGCATGTGGTGTGAAATGCTGGCTTTGAGATCAGGTAAAGTTCTTGGATTGTTGTTACTTACCAGATGTTTCAAACGCCTCCAAAGCCATAAATGGACTGAGGTCTGGGGATCAGAGAAGCTGCACATTATGAAAATGCAGGCTGATAAGTATATTCTTCTGTAAAATAACATTTAAGAACATTCGTAACACACTGTTCAATGTGTGAAGGTGCTCCATCTTGCAGATTGTGCATGCAGGGCACTGTGGTGCTTGTAGAGCTTGAACAATATCATTCTTCAACCACAATGCATATTGCTGCCCAGTGATCGAACATGTCACTGAACTTGTAGCGTGTTTGAAACTGTGTCCTCTGCTACCTGAAGTGCAACCTCCTGTACTGCTTCTGCAGAATTGTTTTTCCTTTTCCATGGGGAACAGAAAACAATCCTGTTTCTTCAAATTTTGTTTTCATTTTCTGAAGCTTTTAGCATTCATAGGACCTCTTTGAATTCCCTTCAAAGTCCAAAATTTTTGTAGAGCAGCTACTTCAGAATTAATGCTGTGGTAAAATAATTTTATTAACAAACTGCAATAAGATCATAAACATATTATCATTGAGAGCAGCAAGCACATTGAAAAATAATATCCCTACAAATGTTCTTGTTTTTATTACAGCTGCTGCTTGATATTAACAAAAATTTACATTTTTACTACAGGTTTTTAAAAGTAAAATGCCCTCTAGTGACGCTAACTGTAACTATTTTTTTGCTGAAATCCATTCCCATACTCATCATCTGCCACAAAATTTGATGATTTCCTGATGCCTGGTTTGTCTGTAGGCAGCTTTGAAATAAGCTTCTTTAATTCTGGACACCCTGTATTGCAGAGAGCTCAAAATATTCAAAATAAAAAATATTTTTGTATTTTATTGTTCGTTATCAACTGCTTATTGAATGGTGGTTAAATATTACTTGAAAAGTTGCTTATAAATAAAATTAATCATTTCCAAAATAATCAGGAAAATTTATGAAATTTTTATAATGTATGAATTTTCAAGTAATTAAGTTCAAAGATCTTACTTTACAGTGAGTACTTTAAATCATATAAGCATAAAAAAACTGTAAAATTATTTTCTGAAAATTTTGAAATTTTTGCTGCTGTGAGCAAATATTGTATAGTTTGTTTTGCTTAATGCCTTTCCCTTTCTGCACATGTCTATGTTCTTAGCACTTCCAACAGGAGAAAGAATTAAAATTTAGGCTGTCTTCTGCTAAATATTTTGCCAAAGTTATGAAATTGAGCAATGTGAACTATTTATTTTTACTTTTAGCAGTATTTTCATGTTATCATTATCTTGCATGTGCTTATGGAAATGTTTATCTGTTTGTGCATATATTAAAGTATAATTTTTTTTAATTTTAAAGCAGAATTATCTTCTTATTGCTTCTGCACAATATGCTGGTGAAAACTTAATCAGTTACAGATAAAAAGTAAGAAATTTAGAACCAAATTCACAGACAATAAAAAAAAGGGGGGAAATTCAAAATCAGTAAAACTCAAAATTCCTACAAATATGTAAAAAATCTCATTCTGTTGTCACCAAACCAAAAGAATTACTGTAAGCTACGGATGTGAAATACAAAATGACCCAAAAAATGTAGAAATTAGTTAAGGAATGTCAGTTCGAACTGATTAAGCTGTAGACATAATGACACTCCAGTCAACCCTCTTGCTACAAAACAACAATTACTTTAAAAAACTCTTAATTGCATTTTACTCCATAACATGTGAAACTTGCAGTCTTGTTTACATTGTACAAACTAAACATAATATAAACATCAGAAACAAAAATCATAGATCGCACATAAAAAGTTTGCAATCAATAACAATAGTATTAGTTCACCTACAAAGGAATTGGAACTTTTTATATTTTGTGATTTCAACAATATAGCTATTAAGATCTAGATATTGTTTCTAAACTTAAAAATAGATCTTTTAAGGAATTTTTCTACATTTAGCAATGTAAGATGCTTTATCCATTTGGATTAAATTCTTCAGTCAATAATAACTCTGACTTTTATGCTACAGTTTACGAACAGTTCAATCTTTTCAGCTAGAAAACACACAGGCAAGAAAGTAAAAACTTCTATAAATGCTATTTTACTACAATTAAAATTCCTGGATATGCTTGATAAGCTTCATTTTAAGAAAAATATTCCTGGTGACTTTTGTTCATTCCCTTACAGGCATCTACTTATAATTCAAAATTTCTTATAAAATAAATTTACAGGAAGTAGCCTCATCAAAGATATGGTACTCGACTTTGTCAAATTTAAATTTAACCGTAATTCGTCCAAGTATAAAAACATTTTCTGTAGTTTTGATGATCTCTACCTGCATAAAGTCTTTTAACAAGCTCAACAAAAATTTCTAGCAATAGAGTCTAAAATAATTGTCTGCACAGCAGAAAACTGAGTCGTCATTTTACCAATCATCATGAAGAAGATTTTTCTGCAACTTGATATTGTCATGAAGAGAGATCTCTACCCTATGTGGATAAACAACATAAACATAGAATTATGGAAAATCTAGATATTGTACAGGAGCGTAAGAAAAAAAGGAACAAAAAGATGAGGCAGTGAAATATATTCCTAAATTCAATTGTTTCAAAAGTATTTCAGCAGATAATTTAAGGAATGGAAAAATGAAATGTTAGAACAAAGCAGAAAATACTATATTGATAAATTAAAGGATTTAAAGATATTAAAAATTGGATAGATTTACTTCAGAAGTTTTCTCAACTGAAAAAAACAATTTACTGTTACCAAAACTGATAGAGCTAGCAACAATTTTAGTATTCTATGAAAAAAGTTCTTCAATTCTCATATTGAAAAAGAGCTGCATAATTCAATAACCTATTGTATTTCCAAAAATAAGGAAAACTCTGTAATCAACAAATTTTATGCTTTTCACAAAAAAAAAAAAAAAAAAAAAAAAAAAGAAAGAAAAGAAAAGAGAGAGAGAAAAAAAAAAGGAAAATTTCTCTTTTTACTGCAAATAATAGATTTTCCAATTTGTTATTTATGAAGATGGCAGGAAGAATGTAACTGTTAAATATAAGATTCAGATGTATGTTCTGTTTTTTTCACCCAAACCTCTGAGCTTAATCTTGCTTCAAATGGATACAAAACTCTTGTCGTAAGGATGAGACGTTTAAATCCTTATTTGCACATAGATTCACTTTCTTCTCTCTCTCTCTTCTACATAATATATTATCCATTGAAAAAATGGTGGTAGAATTCATTCTATATTTACGTGGATAGGGTATTTTGCAGAATTCATTTTACTACCTAGGTTCAGGCCACAGTGGTATTCTGGGTAATGAGAGGGCTGACTAATTAGCTAAGCAAGTGACTTATCATGATATTGATTTAATGTTGTCTGCTCCCAAGTCTTTAGAAGCATGTGGTTTGGAAGAATACTGAGGTGATTAGAACGCTGAATATCTTGCTTCTTTGAAGGCTTAGTGAATAGAGATTTTCCCAGGTGTTCTTCAACAACTTAGTGTAGGCATTTCTTTTCAACCGGATTATTGTAAACTTACTCAGATTTTGAGTGGTCATGGGAATTTCGGAACTTACTTTTACTTCCTTTCAATATTGTTACTAGTGGACTCTGTGCCTTGCGGCGATGCTGTTGAAGGTGTGGAACATATTTTATTGCATTGTAGATTGCGTGCCACTGCCAGAAGGGCATTTAAAGTGTGTTTAGAACAGCTCTCTATTTGCTGGCCTCCTGTTTTCTATGATCTTGTTGGGAGATATGAGGCTTTTTCAGTCTTGTGCAACTTTTCTTGTTTTTTGAACATTTAGTATTATTATTTATATGATTGCACTTTTATCTTTTATGTGTCATCATATTATTTTGTGTATTGTCTGTGTATGATTGTTATGTATTAATATTTTGTACTGTTGATGTACTTTTTTTTTCATCATTATTATTTTTAAGTATTATTTCATTTTTATTATTATTGCATTATTTTAACTTGGTTTCATTTTTTATAGGAATATTAACATAGTTTGATTATTCATGGTATATTTTAGTATTTTTATTATAATAGTATTTGTATTTTATTTTATTTTTTCTTCTTTGCTTTCTCTCAAAGCCTAGATTTTATGTTTTTAGTGTTGAATTCCTTGTACTCTGAGTTATTTGCTTTCATCTGTAAACCTCATGTAATACTTCATAGAACACAGGGAGTTTTGTTCCTGGTTTCATAATTTAAAAAGAAATATATGCAATTCCAAAATTTCATAAAAATCCTGCCAAATTTAGATTTATTGCAAATAGTACAAGAAACCACAAGAAGAATTTTGATTATATTTTCTTAAATCTACTTAATCAATATGTAATTTATTTTTGGATAAAGCTAATAAAAACTACTGTTAGATTATTTACAACAACTTGCAAATAATTGAAAAAAATTTAAAATATAAAAATTTACAATATCAGCTGTTATGACTTTGAAAATCTATACACATCTCTCCCACTTAAAGAAATGTATAAAAGGTTTCTTGAGCTACCAGTTCCCCCGCCCCCTGAATTGCTTACTGTACTGGATTTGCAA